GCGCTGAGATGGAGAAGACCTGAGGGGTCCACGGAGGATGGATGAGCTATGGGGGTGAGGCCATACCACCCCACGCAAGGATCCCTACCCTCCAGGGCCAACCCAGAAACATGGGCCCAAGGAAGGCAGGGAGTTGCCCCTGGCAGTCCCTCCATGAGCAGGAAGAATGGCAGGACAGGTGGGGAAGGGTCTGCAGACCCCAGAGAAGCTAAGAGAGCCTCAGGCACTAGTTGGAGATGAGATCAGGCTATTCTCTCCCAAGACAGAAATATTCCTGTGACCAGCCCAGGCAGCTGCTGCCCCCTGTAGCCCATGAGGGCGCTAGATCTGTGGCTCTGGCCTTCAAGAGAGGGAGCACCCCACCCTATCTGTTAGGTGCTACCCAGGGGGTAGCAGAGGGTAGGGAAGAGAGCCTGGAGGGGCCTTGGCAGGCCCACCTAGAAGCTTAGAGGGGTGTCAGGAGCTCTCCTGAAAAATGTGGCAGACTGCAAGGAAGCAGGGATGCTAGGAGGCCAGAGAGGTCAGACTAGCACTCATTGGCCCTCTGATTTCACTGCCCTATCCCCAAGGGACAAAGAGAAGGGAAGGTGGAGACAGACATTTCAGACCAGCCAGCTGGACTAGCAAGATCTAGAGTACACAGCCCCAGGGAGACTGGAAGAAGAGTTTGCCCAGGGCAGCTGCATGGAGACCAATGTCAGGGACCCTGCTTATCTGTGTGGCTAGTCTCCCAGCACCGCTCATACTCTCTAAAAAGCTGACTCAGGGTATAAACCCCCAATGAGAGTCATGTCACCTTCCTCCAGGAGTGCCCTCTCTCCAACTCTGGGGAGCTTGTACTCCCCGAATGCAAAGGTGGTCTGTGCCTAGGCCACACCGTGCTAAGGGCTCCAACAGCATACACAACACACACTCTGACTGAGCTTGGGATGCTTGCACCCTTGCAATGCAAGAGCACTGATTGGTGGCTCCACATACCCAGATGTGCACACAAAGGTCACGTGCCCCCTGTATGACTCTGACAAAGATGAAACAATGGGAAAGCCCTGCCACCCTCAGATTCATCATGTAACTGTCATGCAGAGACTCTGAGGTCTCCCAGTCTGTATTTTTCTTTTGTGGTGGTCCTAGGTCTCAAACATAGGGCCTAGCACTCGACCACTGAGCTAGACCATTCACTGAGCACCCAACCTGTGGAAGACACTTGCTGTGCATGGGCCCAGGACCCCTGACTCTTGGTCCTGACTCTCAATTCCCCAAACCCTACCTTCAGCTCCTTCACCCTCCCTGAGAGCCCAGGGTATTTTTCCCTCTGTTCTACTGCCAACAGCAAAAGAACCTGTCCATTTATTTCATTATTTCATCAACTTGTTAATGATTTTCAGAACTTTGGTCACTAGGGCAGGCCCCTGAAGCAACACTAGACTTGGAAATTTGTGACCTGCTTGCTGCTCAGCTCCCTTTCCTGGTAAAGCCTTTTCTAGGTTAACAGCACTGTTCAAGGGCCAAGGCTGCCTGGGCAAGAGGTCACTGGGGCAATGCCTGGCCTTTGCCTAGGACCCCAAGTCAGGACTTGGAACTCCCCCCCGCCCTCCTCCCCCAGCAACTCTATTGTTTCCCCCATTGGTAGCCTCCGTTCCTTGTTGGAAAGGTACAACCTGCTGAACAGGGGAAAGAATCACAACATGGCAAACAGAACCTGGCAAGTGTGATGGCCTCATAGTAAAGAACTGAGCGTTGGGATTCCATTTTAAGATAAATAGCCTTGGCCTTGAGATGAGCTCTTGTATCTTCTTTCTCCAGGGTTCACTTTAAAAAGCTGCTGCTACCAAGAAGCCAGCACCTAGAATACTTGACAGGGGAGGTGGGGAGGACCCTAAAAAGAGCTGCCCCACTCCTTCCCAGATCACAAGAAAGACACTGGACAGGAATTGCTTTTCTGTATTTTACTGCAATTTAAAAAACCCTACAGTTTTAACTCATCCAACTCCCATGGAAGGGGCCAAATGATGAAATGTTAGGCAGCTGAGACAATTTGATACTAAATAACTGTTTGTACTCTTTTGGTATTTATCATTTTTTTCTTTGCAAGGTACAAGATTTAATTATAACCATTGGAAGGTAAGAAGACTCCAGGGGCACATCAGAGAACAGAAGGCTTGACTAACAGCATACTTCAGGTAACAGTCCTTTGTCAGACCCTCTTTTAAAAGAAAGTAAAAATAGAAACCTTCCAAGTTTCTTAAGAGTTCAAATTTAGCCTCCCCTCACCTGGCCAAGGGAGTGGTCACTTAGGTGTGGTGACCACACAGACACCTTGAAGATCAGAAGACCAAAGGTCTAGCCCTGCCTGGTTCTTCCACTAATGGGCTGTATGGTCTTGAGTAAATTATTCCATTTCTACGTGACTCAGTTTCCTCCTGATTCAGAAAAGGAAATGATTGGTCCAGACATGGAACATGTACCAAGAAAGATGGCAGAAATCAGAGTGGTGTGACCCAGGATTGCTGAGATGGGGAAGGGAAAAGAGAGCAAGAGTGGAACAGAGAGGCAGTTATAAATAGAGTGGAGCCTAACAGAATGAGGCAGGGAAAAGGGGAGTTTCCCAGTGACGTGATCCCACCCCAGAAAGGAAGATCCAGGAAGAACCAGGGACCTCTAGCAAGGGGGCCAAGACAACTCCACAGGTACGGAAGAGTCTTTTCGATAATTCTTGTGGGAATAAGTAGCTACCCACATACAAAAAAATGAAGTTAGATCTCTACTTCACACTATTTACAAAAATTTTGTGAGAACTATAAAGCCATGAAAATTTTTAGAAGGAAACAGGTATGAATCTTCCTGGCCTTCGATTGGGCAATGGTTTCTTAAAGAGGGCAACAAAAATACAAGCTACTATGACCTAGCAATTCTACTTTTATGCACACTCCCAAAAGAAATGAAGACATGTCAGCACAAAGATTTATACAAATATGTTCATAGCAGCATTATTCATGAGACCCCCCCCCAAAGTCGAAACAGTCCAAACGTCCACAACTGATGGACACAGAAGGTCCATGTGCTGAAATATGACATGACAATACAAAGGCAAAGTACTGATACGAGCTCACCATGAATGGCCCTAGAACACTTGCTGAGGGAAAGCAGTCAATCGCAAAGGATCACACTACATGATTCCTTCTATATGAAATGTCCAGAACACTACGGGACTCCATCTATATGGAAAGTACAGGCACTAGTAGAGTCCTAGGGCTGGGGAGTGTGGGGAGGCGGGGAGAGGGGTGGAGCTGTGATAGCCAGAATATAGGTTTCTTTTGATTGTAATGATAAGAATGTCCTGAAATTGATTGTGATTTTGTGAATTTACTAAAAACCACAGAATTGTGCACTAAAATGGTAAACTGGAGAGCATGTGAACGACATCTCCATAAAGCTGTTAACCCCTCCCCCTAAAAAGGACAAGGAAGCCAGAGCACAGCAACTGTCCCAACACAACCATTAATAGAGCCCTTTACTCCCAGAGGTGTCCTGGCTTATATGATAAACTTATATCATTACTCTTATCACTATGTGACATCACGCAGGTAGCTTAGCCTCTCTGGGGCTCAGTTTCCCCACCTGTAAAACAAGGTCTGTCCATTCTGTTGAGCTTTGAGTCAAGCACTAAATTCCACAAAAGCTCAATTTTGAGAAGCTGTGAAATCCACTCAGGTGGTCCAGGGCTCACCATGGCTTAGAAGATGAACCAAAATTGGCAAGGAGTTGACGCCTTGTGCCAGTACAGATTGCTGAATTCCAAGAACAGAGACAAAGACAAAAATCCTAAGTTTACCATGGTTATTGATACTCAGATTTCTTGATAGTTAAGAAAGGTGATCCAACCACTCTAACGCAGGCAAAGTACCCTACACATATTCCCCCAAAATGGAAAAAGATAAAAACTTAAATGAGCCTCCTCCTAGAAAATGTCCTTAAGAAACTTGGTAGACTTGGTAGTGGCCAACCAAGATCTTCTTTAAATGGGATTTTGTCAGTTTATCCTAAAGGGTACAGTTTATTTTTCTTTTGTTTGTTTTGTGGTACAGGGGTTAAACTCAGGACCTCACACATGCTAGGCAAATACTCTACCACTGAGCCACACGCCCCTAGTCCAAGGTGTGATATTTTGATGGTCAAGGTCACCTGATGATGACTAATCCTCCTTACCCATGACTACTTAGGAAATAAAATTATACCAAGCAGGTCAAGAGGAGTCATTTTGTTCTAATCCTTTCTCTGCTCATGAGGATGTGTTTGAGAAGTGTCTTTCTAGTCCTACCCCACCTCTGGGTCCCCAGATAGGCTCAGAACTAGCTAGCATCCATGAGGCAGGTCATACAGATACATGATGGCACTGACCACACTGATGCGAAGACATAAACGTCTGTCTAGGCTTTACTGCAGCAGATCTTTAGAAACAAGGCGAAGAGACAGAAGGCACATCAACTCATCCAAGACAAGAGACAGGTGCCCACCAGGATCACTGCAAAGGCAGGCAAGGACAAAGACAGGGGAGGGTGGCAAATTTCCCCTATTAGGTCAGCAGAGTTGGCTCCAAGCCAGCTGCCAGAGGAGGTAAAGGCACAGGGTGAGGCAGGGCTTTTGCTGGAGGCAGACTGGACCAATACAGGTGGCACCAAAGTGCCAATGATCCTCTAATTGAGGAGTTTAAGGCTTCAGAGATGACCCTACTATTTGCTTCTTTAGAATATTAGGGTTGAGAAATAGAACAAGGAACCATTCAAATGCTGGAGGCCAAGAGGAAGGAAGAGAGGAGCCATTGGCTTTCTGCATGCCAGCCTTTGTGTCCACAGGTTTCTGCTGGTTGATGGTCTATAGCTTCCATGGGCTGGGCAGGTCCCTCGTAGCCTCAGCTCGCCAGATGAGACAGCAGCTGACAGTAGTGAATTCTATACCCAGGGGATCTGTGGGGCATGGAGCGGTGCACGTCCTACTTCTACTCACAGTCCACATTTCAGGATGATGTGGTAGCCGTCATTGCTCTCAGCTGCAAGAGAGAAATGCCGCAAAGTGTGCTTCATAGGAATCAAGGCACAGTATTGTGCTATTTGGATGTCCCCAAAGGCAGGACCACCAAAATAAGGCCACACAAAGGAATATACTGACAGAAGCAGCAATGTCAGCACACACCTTGTCATCTGCCTTGTTCATTTCTTTTTGTCAACGGGCGTTTCTACCCAAGGATAAAAGCATCTATGTCCCAGGAGGCTTTGGGCGAACCATGATTGGCAGGGATGTTATGGGGGCTTCTAGGCCCATCAAGGCACTCATTGGTTGTGCAATACTTGGATCTCAAAAGTTCTCCAAAGCCCATGAATGAAAGGCTTGGTCACCAGTCTGTGGTGCTATTGGGAGGTGGTGAACCGTTAAGAGGCAGGGCCTAGTGGGAAGTTAGATTGATGGGGGTGTGCCCTTGAAGGGGATATTGGAACACAGCCCCTCCTTTTCCTCTCTCTTCGCTTGCTCTTCCATGAGGTGAGCAGCTTATTCTACCACATACTCCTACCACAGTGGTCTGCCTCTCCACAGGCGCAAAAACAATGGGGCTGACCATGGACTGAAACCTCTAAAACTGTGAGCCAAAACAAACCTTTCCTCTTTTTATGTTGACTATCTCAGGTATTTTGTTATATTAATGGAAAAGCTGACTAACACAGGCTAGATCCACAGAACAAGGGTGGTAAGAAGCCTCCACATAGCCCATCCATCCAACCTCCTAGCCCCAAGGAAAAATGAAAGCAAGGCTGTCTCTTCCTTCTGTGAATAAGCACAGACTCCTGGCACATGGGGAGTATCTCTCAGCAAAGTGGGGATGCTGATGTCCTGTTGGGACACCTGGCCCAGGTGGAAGTCCATGCCCAAGCCCCCCTTAAAGTCCCTGACCCATGTTGCCTGCCACTGAACTCCACACTGGGGTTTCCTAGGCACTCTGTGTTCCCAAAGGCTGATCCCAGGTAGCCATCCTCTGAAGGGACCCTATTGTAGGCAGGCCCCACCCACCTACCTATCCAGTTTTCCCTCATCCCAGACATCAAGGGATACAGCCAACATACTTTAATTAAACAAGACATCAGGAAGGGAGTTTACCTTTTAATGTGCTGAGGCTAAAACAAGATTCATCTTGGAAATTTTGCACCATCTGAAAGGCAAGAGACAGTTCCTCAATGATGAGTTAATAATATAAAAAGGCTCAATGCCACAGAGCCTAGCTACTCACAGCTGTAGAAATGACACTGGCTCAGCTACACTATGCAGGTACATGGTGACACTACAGATCTACTGAGAAACAGATGACAGAGTCAGTGTGTGCAACTCTAAGTAACAGAAAGGATGGAAAACAGCCTGGAAAGGACCGGGGTAGTATCATTTCACATAGCACAGGGGTGGTTGATTGTACTTATTTTGTCTTTTCTGAGTTACTAGGTTTTCCAACTCTGCAATGGACTCATTGTAGGAATGTGTATGCATGCAATGGGAACAAATAGGAAACCAAGGCCAGTCACACACCTCATCCACAATGGTAGAGCCACTGAAAAATTCCTACTGCCTAGTGGCTCGGTAGCCATGGTAATGTGGCCGCACGGTGAGTTACTTGTGTTTGTGGTGATGTTGTGTTAAACAACCTACCATGCCGTCAGCGCTGCACATCCAATTATACAAAGCACATGTATTAATACCGGTAAACGTGACTATGTGACTGTGGTCGTGGCTTCTGCTTTCCGTTACTATTTTTGAGGGTGCTCCTTCTAAGTGTTCTGTAAAGCAGCATCTCATGTCTACTGCATCTACTGCACTGCAGTAATGAGCGTGTGGGCACCACACAGGATGAGCCCATGACAACAAAATCACCTGAGGAGGCTTTTCAAGGCATCTCATTGTTAAAGTGGCACATGATTATAAATTGTTTTGAAAAACCAAAATGGTAATTACTAGAATTTGTGCCTCAGTGCCTATGAGGACAAAATATAAAAGAGGCACCACTCCCTGTCTTTGCAGATGTGGCAGGAACCTAACAATTATGCACAACCTCTTTAGAGTTGCAATTGTGACCAACTCCCCAGTAACCATGGATAAGTCTTTCTCTCTCCGCAGCTCAATCTATAAAATGGGGGTGCCTCAAGAACAAAAATTAATCTAGAAGGCCAGGTGCCAGTGGCTCACACCTGTAATCCTAGATACTCAGGAGGCAGAGAGCAAGAGGATCACAATTTGAGGCCAGCCCAGGCCAAAAAAAAAGTAGAGACTCTATCTCAAAAATACCCAACACAAAAAAGGTGGTCTAGTACCTACCTGCCTAGAAAGTGTTAGGTCCTGAGTTCAAACTCCAGTACAAGCAAAAAATATATAATATATATAAATATGAATTTCATATATAATATATAAAACCAGGATGGGAGCCATGAAAACTGGCAGCGCCACTGCTGGCGGGGAGGGATGTAAATCTAGAAAACTAATGTGCAACCTGGTGGAGACGACTGTGTACATTTTCCAAGGCACGTATCCTAGATAAGAACCCCTCTGCCTGTGCATATACAAAGACATTTATAAGAACACAAAACTGGAACGAGCCCCAGCATCAACGCAGAATCACAAGTCACCTGTGAGCTAATCATTTATGCTGCGCAGTGGTGTAAAGCCCTCCTGCTGTACACGTCAGCAGGCCAAGTCTCCAAAGGGAGTCCCAGAAGTACGCACTCAGATTCCACTTCCGTGAAGTTTGTTAAGGAAGAACAAAATTCACCCCAGCAGGTGGGGAGCGGAATATGAAACGAGCCTAGAAGGAGCTTTTAACATAATATTCTAGTAGCCTGAGTGTAGGGCCAGGGGAGCTTATCAAACTGTACAAGTTCGTTTTATAAACTCTTTGCATATATATGCTGTATTTCACAATATACACTTAAAGAATATTAAAAATATATATACACAAACATGCACAACACCCACCAGGATAGCAAAGCCTCTTTCAAATTTGAATATTATAGCCAGGTGTGGTGGTGTGCGCCTATAATCCTAGCTAAGAGGATGTGTAGATGGGAGGATCATGGTCCAATGCAGCAAAATGCCAGGCCCTACAGAAAAAACTAAGCGAAAAGGGTTGGGGGTGTGGCGCAAGTAGTAGAGCGCCTGCCTGGCAAGCATGAAGCCCTGAGTTCAAACCCTAGTACTATCCAAAAAAATTTTTTTAAAAATTTAAAATTCAACCCATGGACTGGAGATGTGGCTCAGTACTGGAGTGCTTGCCTGACACATGTGAAGCCCTGGGTTCGAGTCCCAGTACCACACATACCAAAAAAAGTAATACATTTTATCACCTGCTCTGGGTTATTACCTCAAATCTAGCGAATCCATCCACCTGCCCACCCCTAGCCATCCCTCGGGGTTTAATGGTGTCTGAAGTATATTTACTCCACACTACCGGCCGCTCCATTTGGGGCTCTTGGCAGCCCAGCCACTTGGACAGGCAAAACCCTCAACAAGGCCAGCGTGGGCTTAATCAGTAACTCCCGGATTAATTAAATGTCCTTGCACCCCAAGGGCCAGCGCCATGCCTGGCCAGGCTGCCTCCAGCGCTCTGGGCAATTAAGAAGCAAAGGTTTCCAATTGATTTGGGGTTAAGAGGTAAAGAGACTTTGGGGAATGAGAACCACCTGCTTAGCCAAGGTGGCACTGGAGTTCTGTGCTCTGCTTCACTTGCTTAACTGCCTGCTATTGAGGGCACAGGTCAAGCGGGGGAAGGAACTTCCTCAGAGACCCATGAAACTGCAAGGGCTCCCCAGTCCTGCCTCTTGTCTTCCCCAAAACAAATTCACTGTGAAGTACAGAGGCGTGCCTTCTACGCCACCACAACTGCCCACCGCTAGGCACCCCCCACCTTCCGGCTACTCTCAAGCAAGCGCCCGGCCAGGAACTGTGGGCCTGGCTTCCCCATCGGTAAGATGACATTAGATTTCAGAGTGATGATATGGAAAAATCTGAACTGGTGATGACACATGCAGATACCTACAAACACAACACACACACACACACACACACACACACACACACACACACAGATTTGGCAGAAACACACTGAAGCTAGTGTCAACCCCTCTTAAGGAAACAGGGGAAAGGAAGAGCCTTTTGCTGTTGCCTTCTGCTGTCACATAGCGTTTGACATTTAGACTAGTTATGAATGACTTCTTAATTAAAAAGAAGGGCACTATTTTCTCATTTATCCTTAAAATGAGAACCCGTCACCCCTACTCTGCTCATGCAGAAACTGAGGTTACACACATTTCCCCAAGGTCACTCAGTGACCTTCCTTGGGAACCTTAAGTTCTCTACTTTTTCTAGCCACCATTCTAGTACATTCTATAGCCCTCTACTCAGGGGATTTCAGAGTTCCTGGAATCGGTTTGGGGGCTGAGCCAGGGGCTCAAGATCCTACTGCTTTTTACAATAAGTAGCTCTTGTTTCAAGAGAGGTTAGATATCCTGCTGGCTCAGAGCTAGGGCTCTGCAGCTGGACCACCTGAGTTCCCACCATTAACTCTACCCCTTACCAACTATGCCACCTGGGGGAATTAAGTTTCTCTGTGCCTCAGTTTTCTATCTGTGAAATAGGGTGATAGCATCCACCTCATAGAGAGGCAGTCTATGTCTTACTACCTAAGACAGTAATCAGAACATAGTAAGCACTTGCTATAGTTTGGATCTCAAATATTCCCCAAAGGCCCACTGAAGGCTTGGTCACCAGCCTATACTGATATTGGGAAGAGGTAGAACCTTTAAGAGGAGGGACCTAGCCAGGTGCTAGTGGCTCACACCTGTAATCCTAGCTATTCTCAGGAAGCAGAGAACAACAGGAGGACTGAGGTTTGAAGCCAGCCACAGGCAAATAGCTCATGAGACCCTATCTCAAAAACACCCAACAAAAAAATGGACTGGCAGAGTGGCTCAAGTGGTAGAGTGTCTGCCTAGCAAGCATAAAGCCCAGAGTTCAAACACTAGTGCCACAAAAAAAAAAAAAGTGGGACCTAGGGGAGTGTTAAGTCAATGAGGTACGCTCTTGAAGGGGAGACACCCCAGCCCCTCCTCTCTCCCTCTCTCTCTCTCTCTCTCTACTCACCATGAGGTGAGCACCTTCCTCAGACATATACTCCCACCGGGATGCACTGTCTCACCACAGGCCCAAAAGCAAAATAGTCCAGCCAATCAAGTGCTAAAGCCTCTGACACTGTGAGTCAAAATAAGCCTTTTCTCTTCATAAACTAATTATCCCAGATTCCATTACAGTAACAGCGACTAAAGCCAGCACTTTATGCATGCTGTCACTTGTTGCTATCGTTAGCTGGAACAAAGGTCCAACATGGAGCAGTTTAAAAGCATCTGCTTATTTCATGTGCACAGAATGCCTGAACTGTCAGCGGCCGGCTCAACCTCCCCTCCTCAGCCACCAATGGGAGCAGTTCCAGCAGGGTCCTGCTCGCTTCTGAGCCCTCTGCTAAGGATTCCTTCCACCCCTCCCAGGCCTGTGCTGCCTGGACAGACCCAGGGAGGCTGTGGCACCTTCACCAATTAGCAGAGGCCCTGCTCGCTTTCATCCCCCTGGCCCAAGCCCAGTACCTTACTTCTCCTGGGGCTTGCTCTGGGGACTGCCACCTACTTTGGGGAGCACCATTCTCCTGACATCCACAGCCCTGACTGTGAGCACCCTGCAGGCAAGGGTGCAATGTGTTTTCCTGATCCTGCAGGGCAGCCAGCCAGGGGCAGAGCAAGGAGCAGCTACTTAGCAGCTATTCAGACCCACACCCGGCCTCAGGACTCCGCCTCCCAGTACTGCAGGCAGAGCAGCCCCAACACAGTGAGCTCTTTCTACAGCTTGCATCTTCAATGTCCCCTAAAGACCCACGTGTTAAAGGTTTGGTCACCAGTCTGTGGTGGAACCTTTATGAGGTGGGCCTAATGGGAGGAAGTTAGGTCACTGAGGGTGTAACCTTGAAGGGGATATTGGGAACCCAAGCCCCACAAAAGATGCTTTTGGTGTGTGGGTGGTGGGGCTCCGCCCAGAAGACTGAAGCTGACTGAAGCCTGGGCTGGGTCAGGCATGGCTCTCACCTCATTGCTCACCACCACGTGGATGCCTGTAGGGCCCTGCCAGTAGACCCGGTGGATGTGCTGGGGAGGGATGCTGTACAGGTTGGCAATCTTCTCAATTAGTTCCAAGGTGGTCAGCTCTTCCAAGAAGATGGCTTGGTATACTGGAGGAGGGTCATTAAGTGGTCATTAAATTAGCATGAGCCTGCCTATGTCCCCTCCCCAGCCTGAGAACCCAGTAACTTGTTTGTAAGATGCTTATCCCCAAAGCAATGGGAACCTTCCCGGAAACTACATGCATAGACAGGTGAACAGATGTGCCCATGGCTCCTTGTTCCTGTTTCCAGCTCTCTTGGGCACTTATGTGAAATGCAGACTCCTGGCCCAGCTTTAGGCCTGAGGACTCCCAGTTAGGGGCAGAGGCTAGAGGAGCATTCTGACTGGTGGCCTTGCTTGGGAAGAAGGAGGAAGGTCTATGTCACCTTTCTCATTGTTTAAAGGGGTTACTGGACGGCTTGAGGCAGCAGAGGGATATTTACGTCAATTGTTACTTGACAACAGGGCAGGCCAAGCTGACATAAGCCAGTCAGCTAGAGCACTGCAACCCCAAAGGGAAAAGGGGAGGCCTAGGAGGGACTCATGCGTCAGCAAGTGGCAAGATAATGGTGAGATGAAAATACTTCTTTGAAAAAAACCTAAACTCACTGGGTTGGAGCAAATTCCAGGGAGGATTACTCAAGAAAAAAAAAACATCTTTTTTTTTTTTTTTTCTGGTGCTGGGGTTTGTACTGGAGGCCCTGTGCTTGCTAGGCAGGCACCCTACCACATGAGCTACACACACCCCCAGCCCTTTTGGCTTGAGTTATTTCTTTTGGATAGAGTCTGGTGCTTTCTGCCCTTGGACCTCAACCCTTCTGCCTCTGCCTCCAAAGTAACTGAGATTATAGGCATATGCCATGCCTGGTGGGATTACTCAATTTTATGGGGCCTCAAGTTTCTCAAAAGTAAACCAAGAGGGATTAAATTTAAGGTTCCTAAACTTCTTCCTTGGCTCAGAAACCAGATCAGAAACCCAATATTTTAAAATTGCACTTGGGTAGCTGCAGTCAAAGGGGAGGCAGGGGCTCTGGGTTCCTGCCACATAGCAGATCCACTCTCCCAGGATTTCCAGCAGCTCACCACTGTTAGATCCCGTGCAGCGAGAGCAGTGCTCACATCATTTCCTTCTAGTTCCACACCAGGCATGAACTCAGGCCTGGTTTCTAAGGTGTCATTTTGATTGCTTTCTCTTTCCCTCTTCTTCTTCTTCTTCTTTTTTTTATTTTGGGGGGCAGTACTGGGGTTTGAACTCGGGACCTCACACTTGCCAGGCAAGAGCTCCACCACTTGAGCCACCCCACCAGCCCTTCTAAGGTGTCATTTTGGAACAGAATTCTAACAATTCTTTTTTTAATTTTTCAGAGCCACTTCTATTTTTTCTGCTTTTATTCCCCAAACAAACCAGGCCACTGGCAAGAAAGTACTAGAAGGATTCTAGGCTGAGTTGGTGTGTTGTAACCATCCTTTAGTCACTGGCCTTTGCTACCCAGCTTAGTGTGCTCAGAACAAGGACAGTGAACAGAGGCCTGGGACTCCTCAGAGCATCCTCTCTCAGAAGCCCGGTGTGTGCCAGTCTGGGGAGATAAGAGGCTATCGTATGGGCAACAATGCCTCCTCAAGCCAGGGCATGGCCCGGAGTGACAAGGCTGCAGGTTAGATGAACCCCTGGTTACTTTTGTGTGTGTTGAGAGACCTTGCCTGTCCTCCACAGCAGAACAGCTGAAAAGAGGGGATGTGTCTGGACATTCCCAAGAAGCACGCTGGGGAAGGAAGGCACCCAAAGCTTGGGCAAGGGCACTGACTCTGCTCCCACAAGTACTCACCACACAAGCTGCTGTCCCCACTGCCATCCCGCTTCTGCTGCAGGGGCACTCGGTTCTGCTCCAGCTCCTGACAGACATAGATGGTCATCTTCGGCCTCACATTCCTGGCACGAGAGGAAATAACTAGCAGGTGAGATGCACCAAGTTTCGCTGTTCTAGAATGTTCCACAATGTTCCAGAAGAGAGAGCAAAAGCTACAGTGGGAAGGACTCAGGGAGGAAGAGGATGGTGGTGGCTATGCAGACTGCCTTTCATGGATGGGTGGGAGGGGACAAAATCTAGTCCAGGTGGACTGTACTGGCATGATACAAGCAAGGAACAGTGATGGACAGCCCTTCCAGGTCCTGTGAGAGTCTTTGAGGGAGCGAGGACCATCCTGTGTCACAGCTGAGAAAACTGAGGTTCGGGAAGATAAAAGAGTTTTCATTGTCACACAGCTCCTAAGAGGCAGATCTGGAATTCAAACCCAGATGTGTTGTCACACCAAAACTGCTATCTGTGTGGCTACTGAATTCTAACTTCAAGGCTGGGTGGCAGCTCATTGCCAGAGCACATGCTTGGCATGCCAGAGGCATCTATAGTGCCAGAAAAGAAATAAAAGTTCACTCAAGTTAAATAAAATTTTTAAAATTCAGTTTAACTGTCACATTAGCTCAAGTGCTCCAGCTCTCCCCACTCCCCGCCGGTTGGTGGCTCCTGGACTGGTCAGCACAGAATATTTCCACTATGACAGCAAGTTCCATGGGATAGCACTGTCCTGAAAACTTCACAGAGTCCACATGTCCTACCCCAGGCCACAGCTCCCCTCAAGGAGGAGACAGCACTGATCCAGGACTTTGCAAGTGTCCCAGAGCCTGGGCAAGTGGCTAAGGGGCTGGATCCAGAGGTTCTGGTCAAACGCAAAAGAGAGACCACTGCAGCTGGCTGGTGAGTGAACTCCAACACAATACCTTATTCCCCCAGCACCTCCTCCTGTATTTGTCTCCACACTGCAGGAAGGACTCCATCACCCAGTCCCCACCAGGCAGCCCACCCACACACACCCACAGTCCAAGATGATGAGACCAGATTCCTGCCACACACAGCCGTGTCACAGCCTCCAGCCAGCTTCCCTGAGAAACCGACACGCACCTGCCTTTGATGGCGTTGAAGAGTCGGATCCCATCTGCGGGGCCGCAGACCTGGACCAAATCATCTCTGGACATCTTCAGCAAGTCCGCGCCTAGGCAGGAAGAAGAGCCCTGGTTACATGTGACACACAGAGAGAGCTCCATCCCTGAGCACTGTGCGGTGGAAGACGAGGGAGGGCAGGTCTCTGCCCCGGTGTGCACCGGACACTCCATGGAGAGAACCAGCAAAGAGCTAAACAAGCCCAGGAGGTCACAGCCCACGAGATGTCAGAAACCAAACGCTGGCACTCACAAAAGTACACAGAATGGAGGCAGTAGGTCCTCCCCACCGACTGCCTGTACCCTCCTCCCTCTGTACTTTTCACTGGCATTAATCTAGGTACACAGATTTTATCAGCATGTTGGCAGTGTGTGTGTGTGTCACTGTGCAGAAGTACACAGCTCACTGGAGGCTGACCATCCAAACACACCTGGGAACCCAGCACAGACCAAGGAACAGAGGTTACCAGCCTCCCAGTACCCCATGTGGCAGCCACTCCCTTCACTCCTAGAGAGCCACTGTCCTGACTCCAAAAGGTGATTTGCTTGTTCTTTAACATTTATGGAAATGGACCTGGAGTGGGGGTGGGGGCTGTACTTTTCTAGGGCTGGCTTTCCTCCCTCCAAGTCCCAAGTCAGGGCTCATTTGAGTCTAACATTGTTAGACCACCTCCATATTTAAAGGAACAGGAGAAAAAGAATTTAAGAAAGGCAGCACAGCACAAAGGCTGGATCTTCCTCAAAGACCAAGGTATCACCCTACGTCCCAGTGCCCAGGAAGATTCTCCAGGGGACAAGTACACCTGAGGCCCCAATTCCCCTCCCTTTTCTCCTGCCAAAGTCAGATACTGTCTCAGGCACAATTCTGCAGGCACAATGGCTCTCTTGCTATTGGAAGTAAAACCCAAAGTCCTTCCACTGTGCTCCGAGGGCCCCTGGCTGGCTCTTTGACCTCATAGCCTCTGCTCCAATAACCACAGGCCTCTGCTCTGTGACCACACCGGACAGGCATCCACTTTGCAGCCTCTGCACTTTCTCTCTGCTGGGAACACTTCCCCAATGCCCACTTGTTCCCTCTCTCCCCTTCCATCTAGCCTTTGCTCAAGGAGGTCCAGCCCAGGTCAGGGTCCTTCCCTGACCACCCCCACCTGCATGACTTGGTGACTCATGCGTCTGCACTGACTCAGAGCTGCAAGCCTCCCCATACCGCCGCCCCCAACACCAAGAAAGCTCCTAGAGACACTGAGTTGGAAGATGAGCTGATGCTTTTTTCTTCACTGCCACAGATGGCTTTGGAAACCCCTCCTTGAGTCTGGACCACCTTTACTCCAAGTCACTTGGACTGACCTCCCTTGTGGCAAGACTCACTGCTCATTTTACTTTTGCACACCTGACAGCATCTGGCTCAGGACTTGGGAACCCTCAGTACCAGCTTTCCTGCCTTACCTATGGCTTCACCTCCAAACACCAGGCCATGGCTCTGGAGACAGGAAGACAAGCTTGTATGGCAGGGAACATGTAGTGAAGAGGTGCTGAGGACACACACTGCCCTGATTGGCTAAGAGGCCCCTTCCTGGGCAGCCAGAGCCCACCTATTCCTGCAGGTGAGGGAATCTGAACAAAGTCACCCAAATAGCCACCCAATGTCACTCTTAACTGGGAACATCTAGGGGCAGCACATCGCATCTGCGTTATTTCATGTCTGTAGCCAGGGTCAGCACTGCGGGTGTCCTCATCCCCAACACAGCCCCAGCAGGCCAAGGGCAAATCCTGGACAGCCTTGCAAAGTGCTTCCCGTGAGATTCAATTCTGAGACACTCACCTGAGAAGCTGGCGAAGAGCCGGCAGAACTGTGAGAACCTGTTACGGTGCAGCCACTGCTGTGCATCCTGAATGGAGGCTGATGGGAGCAGGTGCTGCAGGAGAAAGGAGCCCTTGAGAGGCCACTCAGAGCCCAGGGGGACCGCCAACCCGAGAGCCTGGCGCACACTTACGTCACTACCCATAGGCAGAGCCTCCACCGGATGATGGGTTGGTGAGCTGTTGCTGAAATAGAAAAGGGACGGCGATGAGGAAAGAGAGTTTTGAGGACATGGCAAAGGTCCTGTCACCTAAGTCGGGTGCTATGTCCAGTCAGATGTGAGCTTTGTTTTAAATCAATCCTCAAGAACTGTCTGAGTCAGGCAAAGGTGAACAAGAGCTAATGTATAGTCTCTCAAAATACCTAGTGAATGCATGGCTGGGGACAGAGGTTCTACAAGTCCCAGCCAATGACCCCTCAACCTCAGTACTCAGCAGCAACAACCTGGGCACCCTGGTGGTTGACCCCTGTTATAGTGGTGATCAGATCCTCTCCCACTAGAGTTCCTATCTAAGCCCCAGTCCAAAGGAAGAGGTGGCTGACTATGTGCCCCAGGTCCTGCTTCTCACCATAACTCAGAGCCTGAAAAGCTGCAGCCAAACCAACAGTGCCAGTGAATCCTTGCTGTCCAGCCACAGGTATGCATCCATCATGGGAAAAATAGCACCAGGGATTTCCCAATAGAGAGACACATGACCTTCCTTAAGTGCCAACTCAGGAGGCACTTAAGGCTCCAAAATAGCCTTCCTAGGTGGAGGGTGATGATGGTTGTACCATAATGGGAATGTACTTAATGCTACTAAGCTGTACACTTAAACGTTCTATAGCATTTACATCATTGAGATTCCTTTATTGAGATCTCACCTGTCAGAATGGCCATCGTCAAGAAAACCAACGACAAATGCTGGCAATGATGTGGGGAGAAAGGACACTTATGTACTGTTGGTGGGAATATAAACTAGTCCAAACACTACGAAAGTCAGTATGGAAGCTCCTTAAAAAATAAAGCTAGAACTGCTATACGATCCTGCGATACCCCTGAGCACCCATCCGAGGGAATGTAAATTAATGTTTAAGAAAGACACCTGCACACTCATGTTTATAACAACACCATTCACAATAGCCAGAATGTGGAATCAGCCTAGGTGCCCATCCACCAATGAATGGATAAAAAAAAATATAATACACACACACAATGGGGCATTGTTGAGTCATAAAGAGAAAATTATGTCATTTGCAGCAAAGTGGATAGAGTCAGAGATCATGTTAAGTGAAACAAGCCAGACTGAGAAAGACAAACATCATGCATTCTCTTTCATATGTGGAATCTAGTTCTTAACCCTGAGTGACAGGAATGTAAAACAGGTTCTGTTTGGAGGTAGGTTCCAGCTAAAGGAGGAAGGGCAAAAGGAGAGGGCATGGGGAGGTAAACATAGTCAAAGTACTTTATATACATGTATGAAAATAGAACAGTGAGACCTGGTGAAATAGTTTTAAGAAGAGGGGAGAAGGGAGAGGGATAGATGGGGTGAATTTGATTGAGGTACATTGTATATATACATGGAAATATTACAATATAACCCCTTTATACACCTAATATATGCTAATAAAAAACGAGGGGAAAAAAGACCTTTCCCGGGACGATCCTTATGCTGGTGGGCAGTAATCAGAGCTGTCTTTCAAATGACTATGCTGTGCTTGGCATCACATGTTCTTCCTGATCCCATGGAATTCCGACTCCCCTTTGTAGTGGAAAAGTCAAAGCTCAGGGAGGTTAAGGAAATCACCCCCCCAAAAAAGTGAACATTTAAGAGTAGGTCTGAGCCAGGCACTGGGTAATCCTAGCACTCAGGAGTCTGAGTTACACAGCTGAGACCCTGTCGTAAAAGCAAAACAAATGGAGTAGGTCTGCTTGATCTAAATATGAACCCCCTTTTCTAAGTCTCTCCCAGTCTCCCAGGAGAAGGCTTCACCTTGGTAAAATCTAGTTTGTGGGCAACCTTGCTTTTTCATTGGAGCGTTCTGTCCGCTAAGCAGGGCCTCCAAGTTACAGGCAGCCAGAAGCCGTTTGGGTTCTGCGCTCACCTGTTAAAGGCACCTGGCTTTGAGCTCTCCCTGCCTCCACACCTCTCCCAGAGCACACCTGCCTATGCACAGTGATCCCACAGGCTCCAGGCTATAGAACCTGCCTGTAATTCTTGCAATGTCTTGCCCGGAGTCTCCAGGGCTGTGCAGAGCCCTGTTTCTCTGCAGAGCCAGGTAGGTGGCCCTTGAGGCCAGTACTGGGGCTACAAAGTCTGAAATCCAGGGTAGGGAGGATCTGACCTGGACAGCCCCCACTCAGTAAGAGAGCCCAAGAGTTGGACAAAGAACCAGAAGGGTCTCCCAGCCATCTGGCCATCTAGCACATGTGAGAGCTCCCCAGGGCATCCAAGGCCAGCCCACCAGGCTATCCTGACCCACTTCAGGCCAGCCCTGATGTTACAAGGTAAGCTCTAGGCAGCTGTCCCACAAGACACCTTTTGCAGAATTGTGTAGGAATGAACCCAAAGAGCTGCACAGAAGGCAAATGTGGTCTGGGCATGGTGGTCTTTAACCACAGGGCTCACGAGGCTGAGGCAGGAGGATGGTGAGTTCAAGGCCAGCCTGGGCTATTCAGTGAAACCCTGTCTCAAAAAACCAAGAGCTGGGATGTAGCTCAGTGGTAGAGCACTTGCCCAGCACATGCAGGGTTCTGGGTTTGATCTCTAGTACCAGAGAGAGAAAGCTAAATATGGCTGTGCCTGCCACACCAGTTAGCTATGCTTAAACCAGATAGTGCCAGGCTCTGTATGAAAGTGAGGAAGACCAAGAAAGGGACCTCCACCCCTCTGTGTTCTGGGACCCCCAAAGGGAGGGTGGTCAGACATACCCTTCGCCAAGGCCGAAGCTGTTGGGAGAGCCATTGTAGCTTGGGGACGGGGCACTGTTCGCCTGGTAGGCCACGTCAGGCCATGGAGAGCACTGTGGGAGGACAGACAGGGCAGTGTAACTCAAAGAGAGCAGTCCTCAGGATGAGCTAGTGTCTACAGAGGCACCAGCCTACACTCCTCAGGCATTTCCAAACAAGCATCCATCAACAACGACGCATGAGACCCTGTCCTCTCAACACAGTCCACACTTACTGAGTGCCCAGATGAGCCACAGGCAGAAGGGTTAATAAGAGTCACACGGGGGAAAACCCAGTATGACCTAAGGAAGTCATCCCTGGAAGCAGGCAAACCGTGAAAGGCATCTTTCCTAGTGGTTGCTTCACAGTCATGTGATTTCTGAGCCCATAAGAAACAGTTCTCTCTGGTACAGACAAATATGCCTTTACAGGGAACGTAAGCAAATTCAAAGAAAGAAAAAGCACATGGTAAATTCAGTACTAAAGCCCATGCTATTTGAGGAAAAAAAAAAAAAAAAACCCAAAAAACTGCCTGGTGACAAAGGAATGATGGGTAGGAGAAGCACTTGCACAGCTGACCAGGAGCAATTTCTCACAGCACAACTATGTGTCATATCCACTTCAGCCTCTGAGGGACACAGAACACATGTGATGAGAGTGTGGTCCTTGAGGAATTTCCGGTGCACAAGTCAAGAACGAACCACACAGAAGTCACCCAAAGAGCCCAACCTTCAGGCCTCTCCTGCTGGGGGAAGTGAGTGGGCCAAGTGTAGTTTCTTCCTTCCATGCTGGAGAAGGCCAATCTGAAGCATTCCTAAAGCTTTGCTATCACCTACCAAACGCCAGGGTTGGCAAATATTTAACCGCTGTGAGCGTGGGCTGGAATTTGTTGATGCTAAATCCTCCGGCCCCAGGAACGCTGATGAGCTGATAGAAGGGAGACGGCACCTCCCAAGGTCACGACTGAGGCTTTACCCCTAGCCACACGGTACTGGGATCAGGGCTGGACGGCTGTAGTATGAACCTCACCAGCACCTCCTCTTGTCGGGGAAGCCAGGGGAACAGCAGAGAAGTGGAGGCTCATCCAGGAAGAGAAACACGTCACTAGGTAAGGAACACTCCTAGCAGTCTCACCAAGCATAGGCAGGGAGTTCTGACCCATTAAAAGCAGTCCTTGGGTCCTGCAGCTACTCTCTTGGCTGGGGACAGGGAAGGGCTCTGCCTGTACCATGCCTCCTGGCCACGGTTACCAACGTGTGTAAAACGCATTCATTTTTATGCTGTCTTATTGCAAGACTTCCAGTGCATGTGGCCTGGCCGCCCTCCTCTTGGACATTCTGTGCCCAAGCCACACCCTAAACCCAGCTCACCCCCCCACAGCCAGCATGGTCTTGTACCTGACTTCTGAGTAAGCCCAAAGCACAAACACACCACCCCTTAGGCAGCTCAATTGCAGAACACAGTGGAGAATCATTGTTTAAAGAAAACAGAACCCAGTAAAAATGGAGGCACCAGCTGTGACCTGTGACAGGGGAGGAGGAACCTGTGACAGTGAGCACCTCAGAAGAATCCCTGGATCTAAGGACACTGCAATAGGCTGCCTACAGGGTCAGCCTTCAGTGGAGATGTCTATCAATACCCACGAAACAGTCATGAGGCCCTGGGATTGATCTCTAGCACCTAAATTTAAAAAGCCAGTGCATGCTCACACACTGCCATCCAGGGACCCCACTCTGAGAATGGAGTCCTGCACACATTCTTGCCATGTGTGGCGCCACTTTCAGAAATGGCAGAGTCAAGAATCAGCCTCATGTCCACAACAGACCACCATACAAACACTAGAAAGCTCTTTATGAAAGGACAGAGATCAGACACGAAATAGTCAGTGCAGAACAGTAGGCCTATGCACAGTGTTGGTACACAAACGCAGGTGTGAGGCCAAGGTGTGTGTGTGTGTGTGTGCTGGCCTCCATCGGTACCAGGGAACCAGAGACACCTGAGATGAGAAGCTGAGAGGCTGGGGGGTGGGAGGAGTTGATGGGAGGGGGATATTTTTGGTTGAACGCACTTTAATTTTGAACCATGTGAATGAATAATTACCTATTCAGAATACCAAAGTACCCGAATTGCGAAAAGTGCAAACATATTCAAAGGCATCAGAGAGCTGAGTGACTTCTGAACCGCCTCCAGGTCCTACTGGATGAACACAAGCCCCAAACACGTGGAACAGGCCATGACTGAATGGACACAATCTGTGATGCTCTTGTCCACCCAGATGGATGACCCTGTGCACTGAGGGCCCCCTCTCGGCCCTGGGACGCCCGGCCCCAGCCTTGGGCTCACCTCCGTGAGAATAGTGGTTTCATAGGCTGGCTGGTATCTTTCTTTCTCTTGTGCGGTTCTTTTCTCCATCTTTTCCCTATCGGTTTTCTGCTTCCGGTCGGCTCCCTTTGGCTGCAAGTGCAAAGCACAGGGTCCACTTAGTTCAGAAAGGGACAGGGTGGCTGCTGAAGGAAGATCCCAGACCTACCAGTGCCCGCTTCGGGTCCCTCAAGTGCAGTTCTCTCACCTCCTGTGTGCCAACACAAGAACCTGTGCCTGACATGCTTTCTCACCAGAGTCTGGCACTTGTGGCTCATTGGAAAGTGCCTGGGAAAAATTGCTTCTGATGGCTACTGACTTATGGAAAGGAGCTGTGGAGACCCAGGACAAATCACAGTGCACTCCTGCTGCCCATGAAGAGCAAAGAGAAGTGAAGTAGCCGCTGTAGGTCAGGATCTGTTCCATCCTCCTGGGCTGAAAAATACCAGCCACATGCTACAGACCTCTTTCTGTTGTTGTTTTGGTTTGGTTGTTGGGGGCAGGGTCTAGCTATGTAGCTCAGGCTGGCCTGTAACTCAGCGTGTTGCCCAGGGGTGTGCCACCATACCCACCTGCTGAGCTCCCAGCTTACACTCCACACACAGGGCAGCAGGGTGATGTTCCCATCCTGATATGGCTAAGTTACAGTGGAAGAGGCTGCCAGTCCTGGATGCCCGGCAAACCTGAGTCACTTACAAAGGGTGTCCAGGCCTCCCAGCCACCATTACTCCTTCTTTACAGATTGGAGGCTGAGGGGTCCAGGTGTGCATGCAACCCCATTCCAGCCCTTCTTGGCCTCCCTGTATCATCGTCTCTCACAAGCCCACAGCCTAACTAGCAAGTAGAGACAGGGACTCCAAGACACAGTAGAGTTGAGCAGTTAGTTCTACTGAGCAGACACGGTCAACACAAATGTTTAGTTCAGGCTCAGTGGCACCACTGAGGAGTTTCACTCCAGCATGTGCCTTCCTCAGGTTTGTTTCCCAGCCCAGAGGTTTTCAGAGAGGCAAACGTCAGGGTGATAGTCACTCTGCATGGAGGCAGGGCTGCAGGGGCCCCCATGGGAACAGATCCAGCATTCAGTGTGAGAGAGCCAAGCAGGGATCTAGGGGAGCTGCCAGTGGCCCAGGTGTGATGCAGCCACATCTAATCTCCTCACTCCACCTCCAAGCAACCACCCTCAGAGGAGGCCCCTTCCTTCCTTCCCAGAAGCCCCAGGCAAGGGGCGTTACAGTGAGACCATGGCCCAACCTGCATGTGGAGTGTAGCATGGACCTTTAGGGGGCTGGCTGGTCAGAGAAGAGCCAGCCTTTTCTTTCACAGACTCTGGCACCCAACACATAGCTGCAGAGCATGGCTTCAAGGAGGCAGGGCTCTCAGTTACTGGGACAGTAACCAGGATAGGAAGGAAAGTGTTCACGTTGCGTTGTCTCAACCTGGTGTGTACACGCTAGGCCATCTGCATCTATGGATGGGGGCGGGTGGGTGGTGAACATACTTCCTATGGTACCCTCAGACGCCAGTCCTGGGTAACAGGGCTGCTCCCCAGTGTAGGAGATGCCAAGGCCTTCCTTGGCGTGCTCACATAAGATAGCTTCCAGCCCAGTTTCTCAAGCAGGGCCTGGTGGGTGACTAAGGAACCTGGCGGGGGGGAAGGAGCAGGGCCCTTATAACTTAGCCTCTTGCTCGAGGTGAAAAAAGGAGAGTTAGAGGGGGTATGGGCTGAAGCACGCATGGGGGCAGGGACCCTCCTCTGTTCCTCTCTCTCTTACCACCCAGCAGTGTCTCCTTCCCAGGGCACATGGGAGGGTGGTGGGTGATAAAAATAACGTCTGGGCAAGAAGTGAGTTGCTACTTGAGGCTGAAGGGATGTGGCTGGCGGGCGTTTCTACATGGTAGGGCAGAGGGGTGACCAGCGCAACAATGAACCACAAGCCAGGCTAGGACGCCTGCCATGCAGCCACAGAGCCCAGAGTGGGCACAGGGGCCAGAAGTGGTAGGGTCCACTTTATGGGTAGACCTGGTCTCCTGGACATTGGTCCCAGAAGATGCCACACACTAATCCCCAGAACCTGACAAAGAGAGAATTCTGATTGCAGGTGGAATTAAGATGAATGATCAACTGACATTTCAAACAGAAAGATGATCCTGATACATTGAGGCCCCATTTAATTATGGGGCCCTTAAAAATGAAGAAGGAAGAGAGCAGAGGTCAGGGTGATGCCCTGTGCTTGCTCTTGCTGGCTTTGAACATGGAAGGAGGGGCTCCAGGCTGAGGAAGGGGGCATACTGGAGAAGCTAGACAAGGAATAGAAATTGATTCTCCCCTAGAGCCTCCAGGAAGAAATGCAGGTGCACCTTGTACCTCTAGCCGGCGAGACTCATGCCAGACTGACCATCAGCGTTGTCAGATAATCAACACGTGTAGTTTTAAAGCTTTTAGTTTTGTGTTTTAAGATAGTCTCTCACTATGTTGTCCAGGCTGTTGTCAAACTCCGGGGCTCATTGATTAGTGTGTGTAGTTTTAAGTCACTGAGTCTGTGAGATGGTAGCAATAGAAGCAAACACAGCAGATGAGCCCAGTTTCCCGACCCCTTCCTTAGGTTTCTACCTCTTCTCCCTCCCAGCTGGGGGCCAGCATCACTGAGGGACCAGGGTATCCCAGTCCAGAGTCCAGAGCCAGGACTGCAGACTCCTTCCCACAGTCCTTGAGAGCCAGACGCTCTTAATTCAGACAGACAACATCCCCACTTCCCTTGCTTCTCCCAAACTCCTGCCAGGGTTCAAAGTACCACACAGAGGAAAAGGGCACAGCCCTGTCTTCTGGAGCCACCAGGTTAGTTGCAAGACAGTCATCAGGTTATGGTTCCACTTGCGGGTGCTTGTTTCCCCAGTCATCTCTGCCCAGGACAACCAACATGGCTCAGCGGCCTCTCAATTGTCCCTGTCTGAGGTGACTCCCTCTTATTTCCCTCCAGCCCTGGCAGGTGGATGTTTTCAGCAGGCACAATTGACTCATCCATGAAAAACAGACACTAAGGTTGTCAGTCAAGGTGACTCCCGCCAGGATGTGCCTCCACTACCTGTGGGGGCAGCTAGAGCTACCCAGTTGGACAAGGTAGGTTAGACCTGCAGGGGACGAGGCTGCAGGCCTGCTTGGCACGGGACATCTTTGTGGTATGAGAATGACACAGTCCTGCTATGTCCCTCCATCTCCCTCAGGGCACACAGGACAGGGAGCTGGAATGCTGCCTACCATCTCCAGGAAATAACCAGTCCAGACTAAAGAGATGAAAAACAGAGACAAGAGACTGCAGGGTATGAAGCAAGCAAGGAAGACACAGGAGGGGCCTCTGAGAATGTGTCTTTAAGATTAACACTTTTTTTTTCCTGGTGCTGAGAATGGAGCATAAGGCTTTACCCATGCTAGGCAGGTGCTCTACCACTGAGTTCCATTCCCCAGCCTTTTTTCTCTAGAAGAAAGCACTGCAGCCACTTGGGAGACACAGATGAAGAAGACTGCGGTTTGAAGCCAGCCCAGGCAAAAAACAGACCTCAGCTCAATCTATAAGCCAGACGTGAATCATGTTCCAGGTTAGGCCAGGCAAAAAGCATGAGACCCTATCAGAGAAATAAATAAAGCAAAAAGGGCTAGAGGTGTGGCTTAAGTGGGAAAGCACTGGTAAGTACAAAGCAAATTCAATCCCCAGTCCAGCAAAAAAGTAAAAAAGACACTGCAGAGAGGAGGAAAAAAAAAGCATCAGATCAAGTTTTCAAAAGAGAGGCCCATGGTTCATGTTTAAAGGGAATGTAGATGTGAGAACTTACAGGTACCTATAAAGTGCTGGGGGGAGGGAGCACTCAAAAAATGTGCAAATCCCATCATTCTTACAAAAGTGGAGATGCAGAGAACCCAGAGCTTCTGAGGAAAACAGAGTAGATGCCACAGGCTTGGAGATACCTCAGCAGGGCAGGGCAGACCTGCAGTCCAGGCACAGGAGCCCTGGGCTAAACAGATGCTGTGTTCCTGGCTGGGCCTCTGACAGCAATTGCAAGGGTCAACCTTGTGATGTCACTGCAGGCAGATGTGAGCAAGGGCCAGGCCATGGCGTCTTACCTTGAACACCTTGATCTGGCAGCTGGCTGAGTGCAAGTGTTCTGTGTACTCGCCATTCTCATTCTGCTTAAATGTGTCGATCTGCACCCGAAAAGGCACCCCCTTCTCACCCCCGTGCTTCCTTGGGGTGAACTCTGTGCTGATACAGTGCACCTGGGAGGAGATGATGAGCAGGTAGTCAGGTGGGGGCGTCTTACCTCTTCTCCACATGGAGGTATGTATCCCAGCCTCCACTTCCCTGCTGTTCCCTCTCCATCAGGCCAAGGGCCTCCCTGTCCACATCCTTCCACCTCTGTCCCTTTACTTTGCCTGACCAGGTACGTCCTTGTCATTGCTCCAGGCTACTGGCGCCTACCCTCACCTAGGGACTTCTCCTTTGGCAAATCCTACAGAGTTGAGTACAGGGATTCAAGCACAGCCCCCAATATTCTGGTGCCTATTACACCTTTTTTTTTTGGTGGTACTGGGGTTTGAACTCAGGACCTCAAGCATTCTACCACTTAAGCCATTCTACCAACCCTTTTTTGTGTTGGGTATTTTTGAGATAAGGTCTCACAAACTATTTGCCCAGGCTGGCTTCTAACCACAATCCTCCTGATCTCTGCCACAGGTCCCTGGTACTAGAGCCAGGGACCTGCTATATATAATACACATTACTGCTATATTCTAAAATAATGTTAAAAATACATTACTGTAATGATGATAACACTGTAGTAAGTTTTATACAGTAAGAATATTATAATTTTTTAAAAGAAATATATCACTAAATATATCACAAAATAACTACTAACTTTTCTTGAGTGATTTTCATGGGAAAGGTATTACATCAATATATTTAGTATTTGATTTATGAAATAAGTGGGACACTAAGAGGCAGAGAATGGGGAGGAAAACTTGCTCTCTATACACAGTGGTGTCGATGAGGGAGCCAGGATCAAACCCAGAACTACACCACAAGGCCACAGCCAGGCCCTTAGCCACCTCAACCTCAGGGAGTACCAGACAATGAGGCACCACAGCAGGAGTAGAAAATGAGCAACTCGTTCAATAACAGCATCTATAACGGGAAAAAATGCTTACTTTCCAAGTATATATGCTGGGAAATATTGTTTATTCTATAGGCAGAACCTGAACAGAACTCTACAGCATTCAGGAAAGGACTCTCACCCTGTGCTCTAAACAGCACCTGTTCTCTCCCTTCAGCTCCCTTCCCTTAAAAAGCAAACAGGAGCCATCCAGACCCTCCGGATGGGCTGGTTTTGAGAAACCACCGCCAAAGCCTTTCTGCTTGCTCACCTGAATGAAGGCAGATGCTCTCTTCGCAGGATCCCACAAAAACTCCACTGCATTCAGCTGGGTTGGGCTGGCCCTGGGGTCCAAGATACCAACAGACAGTGGAATATCTGCACATACATACACACACACAAAAGTGCAAACGTCAGCCTCTCCCGAAGACTCAGGGAAGGATCATCAATACAGGGCCAAATTCCTTCACCACAATTTGAAATGCCCAAATCTCTGGGAGCTATTTGGGCAGAACTCCTCTGGCAGGCAGCTTGACTTGAATTGCCATGAACAATTTGTAGTCTTTACCCTGTTTTATGTGAACAGTCATTTTATTTTGCTGCAGAAATACCATGCTTGAGTTTCTGCTGGAAGTGTTCCTTGATGCTACGGGTACATCATTCTACTTTCTGAATCCTAAAATGCATCTGGTCTCAGGGGCTGTGGACAAAGTGGCATGGGCCAGTACCTGAAACCCCCCAAATTCCACTTCCATTGTGTATCTACCTCTGTGATGCTTCCTTCCCTTGTCACTTATCAAGATCAGTTAAGGCTTTGCATTTTTCCAGAAAGCCCTCTTGGAACTCCCTGCTGGCATGTCTTTGAATTCCACTGGACTTTTCCTTTCCAAAGAAAAAGGGAATTTAGGGCAGGACCTGGTGGCTGGTTACCTCTGCAAGCTCCAAGGACTTCCTTCCTTCCTTCCGCCACCTCCCTCTTTTTTCTGAGACAGGGTTTCACCATGTAGCCCAGGCTGCCCTTGAACTCACAGTCCCCCTGCCTCAGCCTCCCTAGTGCTGGGATTTCCCATAGGGCTTTCCATAGGGCAGTAGTGTGCTAAGATGCCCTGTAGGCATGGGTCCAAATGGCATTCATAAAGAACCCCAACGTGGCCTGAGTGCTTTGGGCTGGATCTGGCCCAGGAGACTCACCGATATCCAGGATGCGATCCCCAGGCCGGCTCCACCGCCAGCCCTCTAGCTGCTGGTGCTCTGTGTACTGCAGCCGGCGGTCATGGAAAACCACACGGATGATGCTCTATGAAGGGAGGTGGTGGGGAACAGCTGGGTGTGGGGGTCAAGGAGAGCCAAGGAGGAGCCTGTCCCAATGCCCCCAGCCTAGGTGAACCCTCCCACCCTTCAAGCCTCCTGGGGTTTCCTTCCCAGTCCTCTGACTCCATGCACTACTTTCTCCTCAGAAGCCACAACCACCAATAATGGGAAGGCTGACAATCCCTGCCATCATTACCAGGATTACGAAGGGCTTTGACACCCACATGTGATTGACATGGGTGAGCGAACCAAAAGCTCAGAATGGCTTGGTAAGTGGAAAAGCCAGACTTGAGCCTGCAACTGTCCGACCCAGAACCCACTCCATCAGCCCAAGCCACTCTCTCCCTCAATGGGAAAGCATGATCCCGAGAACGGGATGAAGGCTGAGTGGAACCCGTATCTCTTTCTCTGAGCTCCCCCCACCCCCACCACACACACACACACACACACACACACACACACACACACACACACAAACACACACACTTCTCTTGCCCTGCCCAGCAAGCCCAGGTGCTCAGGCCCCAACCAGCCCAAGACTGACCTTCACGTATTTTGTGTTCAGATCTTGAAAGTCTCCCAGCTTCCTGTTCTCCAGCAGTCGGATTTCATAGGACTGACCTGGGGGGGCGGGGCGGTTGTTAATGGTACATATTCCATTTCTGAAATGTTTCCAAGCTAAGGGCTCACCAAGCTAGCAGCCTTCTCAACACCCTCCATGCCCACCCAGACCTCAAGGCTGTGAGGAGTGAAACAGAAGAAAGTCCATGGCCAGTTCGGCTCACTCTCTGGACTGACTGAGCCCCAAGACTGCCATTCAGCCTGCTTGGGCCCTAGGGAATGTACCATGTGACCTCTCCAGAGACAGACTATGGAAATACAGTTGATATTAAAATTACAGAACACACACCATTGTGCATGTATAAGGAACCCACCCAGATGGTGGACATAGCTACTCAGATTCGAATTACTAGCAGATAACTGCCCACTCCATTCCTGAGAACAGGTGTAAAGGAACGAAGAAGCCTGTTAAACATTGTCCTCTAATGGAAGAATGAAAAGCATTTTCCCAAGTTAAAAGAATTTCATGTATTTGAAAGGGTGTGGGGATTCTATCCAGCAACATGAAACCAGCACAAGCTGGCCCAAGAATAAGCAGGAACAAAAGATCCATACATCATAACAACAAAAACTTCAGAGTGTCTCTGGAAGACAATAAACAAGCAGGAGACAAAGAGTTCCTGGATGGAAGGCATCGAATGACGCCTGTTCTCCCTCAAGTAAATGTCACAATACAATTCTAGCAATATATCAGTTTAATAAAAGGTGTTGTACATATAAGAGGAAATATTTAATCACTGGTATTGGTAAACTGGATTCGCTTTATTTTTTTTCTTCTCTGTGTGACACTGGGAATTGAACCCAAAGCCTTGCACGTGTCAGGGAAGCACTCTACCACTGAGCCCTTTTTTACTTTTAATAAGTATAGACTAATGAGAAGATACCCCTCGGTGTCATCTAATATAACTGTGCGACATTATCAAACCCAGGAACTGACACTGGCACGGTACAAGTCACAGCACAGTGGCCCTTGCTCAGATTTCCCTAGCTTTTGCATCTCTCTTTCTCTCTCAATGTCTCTTTCTCCCTCTCTCTCTCTCCTTCCCTCCCTCTTCTACCTCTCCCTCTTTCTTGTTCTCTTTCCCTCCCCCCCACCCTCACAGATGCAGAAGTATGAAGTTTTATTCCACCTAGACACTACCTGTGCAGACCCTCACCTCCTAACAAATAGCAAAATCAGTTACCATTAGATTAGAAGTGAATTTCTTAAGGGGGATGAGGAGGAGATATCACCTGTGACACAATTTCAATTAGACAGTTCGGGAGAGCTACTGTACAATATGACCTGTATAGTTAATGGCATGTTACGTTCTGAAATACACTGGGTCCAAGTTTACACATTACAGAAAACAACACACTTGAAGGGATGCATGTTTTAGTCTGATCTGGTCATGTCACATGATAAATATGGACAGTTTTCATCTGTCAATTTTTTTGGGGGGGGCAGCACTGGGGTTTGAACTCAGAGCTTTGTGCTTGCAAAGCAGGCACTCTACCACTTGACCCATGCCTTCAGCCCTCACCTGTCAATTTCAAAAAGCAATTTCTCAAGGTTTTAATATGAATGAATAATATCGCACACTTAGTAGGGAAGAGTTTCTGAACCTGAATTCAATGAGGAAAAAAAAGAATTCTAACGATGAGAAACTTAAAATTATATACACGTATTAATGTAAAAAACTTAATGCTAACAACAAACTAGGAGCAGCAAACCTAATTGGTAACAGTTATTTACAGCATAAAAAGCAACTGACTAGAAAAACACTAAGGTCCTCCCCTCAGGGAGCTGAATGGTGGTCTTACATCCTGTATCACATTTTAATTCCAGGAAACTCAGAATGTGACCTGTTATTTGGAAAAGCAGTCTTAGCAGATAAAATTAAGGGTTCTGAGATGAGGATATATTTGGAGATCATTCCCTTGGGCCCTAAATCCAATGACTAGTACAAATGAGAGACACACAAAGAAGGCAAGGAAAAGAGAAGGCCACATGACCATGGAGAGAGATGTGATGTGGCCACAAGCCAAGGAATGCCTGGAGCCACCAGAAGGTAGAGGAGGCAAACCAATTTCTCCCCCCCACACTACCACCCCAGGTTCCCAGAAGGTGTGAGAATAAGCTTCTGTCACTTTAAGTCAATGGCATGTATAGTAATTTGTTATAGCGGCCACAGGAAGCAAGCCCATGAGTAATGGACAGCACAGGAAAAGAATAGGAAATTAAAACATTCCATTCAAATATTTACAGAGCAACAGCTGCGTGCTGAGTGCTAGGCAAATCCTAGGGACACGCTGGTGAGCAGGACCCAGTAGCAGCCACAAGCCATCCTAGAACTCACTCAACCCTGTTGCCCCTAGACCTGGACGCGAAAGTGACCATGCACAGTCATCCCCACTCGGTGAGACCCCCTTCTGGGCTCCTAACAGCGCTATCCTATGACATCACCAGCACATGCTTCTCAACCACGCCAAGCCCCAGTGCTGCTTGGAAGGTGTTCTGTGCACCTTTCCCATCATGAGGAAGAGAAGCAAACCACAAACTTGTCCTGCCTACCTACCTGACCAGAAGACATGCCCTGTAAAAGGGTCTTGCTAATCCAACTCATCTAACTTTCTGGAAAAGGCAGACTTTAAAGGTACATTTCCTGGCTCTTGAACCAAGAGTCCAGCCTTCCCTTGCCATGGTCGTACAGAGCACCTCACACACCCTAACTGGTTTTTCCAGTGTCCTCCACCTTCCCTGATGAAGAACGGCACTGGCTAAGGCCCAAGGCACAAGTGGTCATTATGGGAATTTACAGGTGCTCCAGGGGACCAATTAGCGCTGACCCTAGGCTCTGCAGACAACCTGATCTCAGGAGGTTGCAAAGCCTGCGCTGAGGGGCAGAGCCATTGGGTGGGGCCGGGATCACATCCCAAGCCAAGTCCCACTCCAGGGCCTCTCCCCAGTTACCCTGCTCCTCCAGCCTGACTCAGGCCTGTAGATGGAAGTCCAGCCGCCCTGCCCATGCCTGCCCCAAGGCCAACACAAGGCCAGACTCATCAAGTACCCCCTCCCATGGCATGGCGCCACCAGACGGCCTTCCTCCAGGTTCACATACTAGCTGTGGAACGCGGTCACGTAGGCTGGACTCACCTAGAGCATGCAAGCCCTCTCTGCTTAGCCAGCACCATTTCTGCACATGAGTGGAAGCCGTGGAGCAGGCCCTGTGAAGGCCCGGATTGTATCTGTCTTGCTCACCACGGCACTGTTTGTTGGGAACAATAGTAGGCTTGGCAAATGCTTCTGTTTGACTACATATTCTTTGCAGTGCTCGTGTAAGCTGGCAGTATGGAGTGTGCAAAGGTAAGACACACCTCTGCCCTCAAAGGGTTTGCAATCTTCTGGGACACATCAAAGAGTATAGGAAAAGGGCAAGAGAAAGGCAGAAATTGAACAGGAGGTGACACAGCAAAGGACTGTCTCTTTCTGCCTCCCATGAAGGGTGGGCAGGATTTCTAAAGTCGAGGGGAAGAATGATAAGGCACTTCCCCATAAAGAGGCAATAAGGCCTCCAGGGAACAATAAGCAACAGCTTCACTCGTGCGGCACACAGATGGCAGTGTCTACATAGATATTAACTCACCTGAATCTCCAAACAAGTCAATAGCAGCAGTTAGGATCATAGGCCCCACTAGACAGGAGGAAGCAGGGGCCAGAGAGGTTACCTGCCCACAGCAAGCTCACACAGCACGTTAGTGGACAGCTGTACGTGATTTTCTTTCAATTTCTCCTTTCTGAAAGGCAGAGACTGCCATTCTGTACCCCGATTAAGGTCTGCCTCCATGGTCTTAAAGTGTAACTCCCTTCTGTGCTGAGATCTTTGCTTGTTTCCTACATTCTGAACAATTACTTAAAAGGGGTGGGAAATCCCTACAGGAAGTGAAAGAACTAATTTCAGAATTGTGTAATGCTGGGGAGGTTGTGGAGTGTTAGAACTGAAAACACAGGGTCAAAATCAGCACCCCATAGTTGCCTCCCAGCTGTGGGGCAGGACATGGCAGAACCCCTTGTGGGCTTTACTTCACTCAGTCCTCTCAACAAGCCGAACCCTCCATCTTTCCTTTATTTCTCAAATCCCAATGCCCTGTGTGAACCAAGATAGACCTCAGAAGTCTGACTAACTTCTAAGGTAACCATGCTGTGTCATGTTTCCTCATGATCAATAAGTCTTCCTGGAACACATGTTCCCATAACATTTACAGCACTCTGAATATACGGTAAGGTTTGGTAACTAAGCCTGGCACCGGTGGCTCACGACTGTAATCTTTGCTACTCAGGAGGCAGAGATCAGGAGGATCGCAGTGTGAAGCCAGCCTGCACATACAGTTTGAGAGACCCTATCTTCAAAATACCCAATGCAAAAAAGTGCTGGCAGAGTGGCCCAAGTGTAGAGTGCCTGCCTAACAAGTGTGAGTCCCTGAATTCAAACTCCAGTACCATAAAAAAAAAAAAAAGTTATGCTAACTAAAACCATCTCATTTTTGACAGGCAGCCAGTCCCACTGAAAAGAATAAGAAGCCTAAGCTGGGTGCCAGTGGCTCACGCCTGTAATCCTAGCTACTCAGGAGGCAAAGATCAGGAGGATTGTGGCTCAAAGCCAGTTGGGAAAATAGTTCGAGACCCTATCTAGAAAAAAACCAACACAAAAATAAGGCTAGCAGAGTGGCTCAAGGTGTAGGCCCTGAGTTCAAGCCCTAGTACTACCAAAAAAAAGGAATAAGGAGCCCAGACTAGACTAAATATATAGGAACCGGTTATAGGACAGTGAGAAAAAAAAGACAAGTCCATTTTTTTCAATAGTGTGAGACAATTGGTTATCCACATGGAAAAGTAAATGCCTATCTCACATTATATTGATTAATAAATCAACTCTTGAGTGAATGAAAGACCTGAATATATATATTTTGTACCAGGGTTTGAACTCAGGTTCTTGAGCTTGCCCTGCAGGTGCTCTACC